AGACAGAGAAAAATGCAGCAATGTCAAAAAAAGATTTTCTTTTAACAAAATATTTGGTTTTTTAGTTGGGGTGGAAAATATATATAATTTGAGGGAGTAAATTGAAATTGAAACGTTTTTAAAAGAAACACTTGTATTTTATTTAGAGAAGGAATAAACACTTATATATATTTAAAAAAAAAAAAAAAAAAGTTGAAAGTTGAAATACAGACAATATACTCTTGGTTGAATATCGCCGACGGACCGGCCGGAATTTAATCTGAATGAAAACATCAGAGATAATAAAACTCGCTACTTATAATCACGAACCTGAACATGGGTCTAAACTAAAATTGGTTTCGAATTCAGGCCTGAAAATCTCGATTTCCTTAGGTGTATTGGGTGCTGCTGTTATAGCTTTGGCGCTGAAATTCACACGGTTCATCGATTTCAGCTCTTCGTATGAAGAATTCGATTCGCCCAGGTTCTGGGTTGTTCCCGGATTGGAGAATCTCGGCAACAATTGCTTTCTCAATGTTGTTCTTCAGGTAAAAATCGGTTCTTTGATTTTTTTACAGTTTGCAGGTTAAGTTAGTTTGTGTAGGAATTGGTGTTCAATCGAGGTTTCTTGAGTTGTATTGTATTATCGTATACATTAACTGTGTGTGTGTGTGTGTGTGATTTAATCTTAAATTTCTGACCTAATCACGGAGTTCAATTGTGTGTGTGTGTGTGTGTGTGTGTGTGTGTGATTTAATCTTAAATTTCTGACCTAATTTGATGGTATTATGTGTGTGTGATTTAATTTTAAATTTCTGACCTAATTTGACGGTATTGATTTTATGGGATTAGGCTTTGGCAAGCTGTACGAGCTTTCGAAAATATCTCGGTGAGATGGTGAAGGAGTATGGATCATTGTCAGATGAAGAAAGAGATGAAAATATACCACTCGTTAATGCATTGACTTCACTAGTCGAAGGTCGGTCGGTCGGTCGGTTTCGTTTATATGTATCGATAAATCGAAATTGAATTTAACGCGATTCCTCTTTAGCTCTTTCGATATTTAAAGTAGTTGAATTGAATAGTGAAGAATTTGATGAAAGTTATTATATCTTGCAGAGTTAAGTACCGTTCGGGATAAAAACACAACACTAAGTCCTCGTAAATTGATGGTCGCAATGGATCGTTACATTCCAAATTTCAATCTAACCAGTCAACAGGTAGTTCTTGATCGGCAATTTTCGTATCTATCAATTTTTATTTTATTGTGTCGTTTAATTTTTTTTATTTTTTTTAGGATGCTGAGGAAGCGTTTTCTCGTCTTTTGTCTTCTTTGAGAGAAGAAATATCGGAACATTGTGTCCCCCAAAATGGCAGCTTAGCGGATTTGCCCATTGTTTCGAATAGTAGGATTGTTACCACAAAAAGCAACGAAAAAGAAAGTGAATTGCAAAAATGGAACCGCAGTTTTCTTAAACCGTTTGACGGGATTCTTGGCAGCATCTTAATTTGCCAGAGCTGTTCGTTTCAGGTTGATTGGCACTAGTAAGAATTTCATTTATATTATATCTTAAAATGTTTTTATTTTTTTATTTTTTTGATTATTTTTTAAAATTAATTAATTATTTTCATTTTTACAGATTTCTCTGGATTTTCAACTGTTCCACACTTTACACCTTTCGCCTCCACTCAGCAGCGACGAAACAATTGTATGTTAGAACAAATTTCTCGATTATTCTTCTGTACATGCTTATGTATTTAATTCCTAAATTATTCTTATATTTTATTGGTATTATAAATTAAAATTAAAATTTAGATGGACGGATGCACATTGGAGGATTGCCTTAAGCAATTTTTCGTAGCGGAACATATCGAGAATTATTGCTGCAGTAATTGTTGGCATACTGCTGCAATCGATTATTTGTCTGTTTTCTCTTCAGATAAGGTATTTTTTCTTCATTTTTTATAATGATTAATTTTTTCTATGCTACAAAAATTGCTTACTTTTTTATTTATTTATAATTGTGGTATTTATTTTAGAATATTTTCTACGATTCTTGCAGACGGACATTGAAAAACTCCAAAGATGTAATAAGAACGATTCTTGCGAGTGCAAATTTTTTTCTTCACTTGAATCTTTTCCTTGGTTAAACAGATTCTCTCGTACTTTCAAGCAAATGAGTATTGCACGGAGTCCTAAGGTATCGACATTTTTATATCCTTGTATTGATATTTGGGTAAATTGCGGCCACCCCCGAGGTAAGGTCAAATTACGAAAAAAACCCCTCATGTTTGGGTAATTACAACCACCCGTCAACTATGAATCTTCTTACACGTACAAATTCAACATAATCTTCTAGATTCTGTGGAGCTCGAATTGGGTAAATCGGGTGCAAATTGGAGAATATTCTACATAATTTAGAAGATTCCACTAAATTTGACACTGAAATAGTGGACGTGTAAGAAGATTCATAGTTGAAGGGTGATTGTAATTACCCAAACAAGAGGGGGTTTTCCGTAATTTCACTTTACCTCAAGGGGTGACCGTAATTTACTCATATATATATATATATATATATATATATATATATATATATATATATTTCTAACATAATTATATATTACATGCAGATTCTATGCATTCATTTGCCACGAGCTTCATATAACATGTTTGGGGAATCAGTAAAACTTCTGGTAATTTTTTTTGGACCGCCAATTTTACTATTTTTTTTTAGTTACGATTATGATTTGTTGCATTTATGTGTAATCATAATTATTGCCGTGAATTATTCGAACAACTAATCCTTATAAAAGCAACATGATCGTTTTATAAAGTGGTTAAGTGCTATTTCGTTTTCTTTCAGGGTCATATTTCTTTCCCTTCGATATTGTATTTGTCACCGTTCATGAATACTGGAGTGGAAATAAAAAATATGGAGCCGAATTTGCAAGTTAGTCCCTTGAATCGACGTAGTAGGGAAATAAGGTCCTTCACTTATTCCAATTACCAAAATCTGCTACTCGATCCAGCAAAATTAAATTGCAAATCCACCGCAGAAAAAAGTGTTTCCTCAGAAACAATGCTAGAAGTTCCGGAAGCTTCCAAGCCTAGCTCGTCCGATTCTACAAAATCTGCTGATGGCAATGTGAGTATTTCCTTCGGTTTTAATTTAATTTCACTTTGGAGATTTTTTTTTTTTTTTACGTTTCTTATTATTCACTTAATCGTCCCTTTCGAATTCTAATTAGTGACGAATTAATTGCATTTTTTTCTTCCAATTTTGCCCTTGCTACTCGTAAATTCTCTCAAATATTAGTCTGTCCTTCTATAATACATTACATGCTTCAATCTTCCTATAATCGTGTCGATTTTGAAGATTTTGAAATAATTTGTATTGTTTAGATTTTAACTAATTATTTGTTTAAAATATAGATTCTAATGCGAATTTCAATTAATTAAATTAATAAACAATATATAAATATTTTAGCCCTTTTCTTTTTCTTCGTAAACTTATTATATATTAATTAGTGTTTTAAATTTAATTTAATTTTTTTTCTTATTTTTATCAGATGGATGTAAATCTCCGACTTTCGCCAGTTCGGCATCAAATGTACCGACTCGTATCAGTTGTGGTGCACTACGGAGGCGGCGGAGACGGGCATTACACAGTTTACAGAAAAGTTAGAGCCAAGTTAGGTGACGAAAATAATTTTGTTGCTTTATTAGAATCTTCGATCGAGCAATGGTTTTCCATTTCCGATTCTCAAGTTCTTTCCGTCTCGGAGAGAGACGTTTTCGATGCAAATGCCAGTATGCTCTTTTACGAGAAAATCGAAAACTCCTGAAATTTTTTTTTTAAAGTAGGAAAAGTCATTTTTGCCCTTCAAAATTTTGGGGCATCTTTTTTTTATATACAGAATAATTGGTTTTTTTGACATAGTGAGTTATTGTTATTGGCAATTATTTACCAAGGAAATAAACCATATTTTTTTATTTTTTGAATACTGAATATTTTTTTATATGAATTAGTGAACTAATAGGTTTATTTATGAATTGTGAGTAATATATATGATTTGTTTTAAAGTTTAAAATACGATACACTTAATTAGTACAAAATACAAAATCAATGGATAATGAACACTTAATATATATATATAACATGGACAAAAATATAAATGTAAAATATATAAATTGATAAAATATGTACACATATTAAAGTCTCTAAAATTAATTAATAGATTTAAAAGCTTATAGTATAGAGAAAAATGAGAGACAAATAATTAATATCTTACACACTCTTTTTATTTTTTTTATTATTTTTTTTACACTATGTATATATATATATATATATATATATATATATATATATATATATATATATATATATATATATAAATATAGTCACTTTCTTGAATATTTATAAACTACTCCAACTGCTTTCCTTATATAGACATGCTAAAACTATCCCAATATGCAAGTAGTAAATATCGAAACGACGAAAAATTTCATCGGTTAGTTTATTTTTAGTTATGAATCGGTATTTTTCTCTGGGCAGGGGTGTAATCCATCACTGATAAATCTTCACTACGGTCGAGAAGCTTTTCTTCTACTGCAAGCATTTCAATCCCATTGATCTTATTTCCATGTTTTGGAGGTTGATCATTTGCTACACATACAAAAACTAAAAATAAAAAAAAATTAAAAAGAATTTTCGACAAAAACCCGTTTTGTAAAAAGTTATGTTATAACTAATTAATGGTAAGAAACTAAGTTTGAGAGAGAAGTAAGTAAATAAGAGGTACCTTGAGTAGTGGCTGCTATGAAGATCAAAATCAAGAAAAGAGTTACCTGAAGAAGATTCTTGGAAGATATAACATACATATTTTCTTGATATTTTCAAGAAATGTGTGTGTGTGTGTCTCTCTCTCTCTATATATATATATGTATATGTATGTATATATAATATATATGACTATTTAAGGACAGACAAATTCAAGGTGAGAGGTTTGAAGCAGTTGTAAAATGTTGATGAAAAAATAAAAAAAAGTTTGATTATGTTCCAGATTTGTTGTGACCAAAGTAAGATCATCAAAGGGGCCCTTTTAACTTTAGGGCAATGAAAAATGTATTATATATATATATATATATATATATATATATATATATATATATATATATATATATATATATATATATATATATATATATATATATAT